CTACTATGCGATAACATTTCTTGTAAGAATAAAATAATGTTCACTTCAAATAGGAGATATGTCGCAAACCGGAACGGACTAAATATTCACTTGGTATTTGATTAGAAAGCATATGTCACAGCGAGACTACGATGTGTTCTACTCCGAGCTAAAAGTTGATGGCTCTGCGATGACCAGAAGCTCCATTCCAAGCAGGTGAGTTTTTGATGTGTTGCTTCGCACTGCGACTTGAGTTTTTACGTCTTTCAAAAAATCAACTTCTTGTCGCAGGTAAACAGCGGCTCGCCTCTCGCCAATAAAGCACCGTATACCAATGGAAACTAATGGAAGCATGCAAAAGACTTTTGTTTCTCTGTACTGGCCGTCGTGGAGCGATTACAATTAACTAATTTCAGAACTCCGGATGAACTTGACGTGGACTCCAAAGTGCTGTTTGGAGCAAACCCTGTGACACCAAAAACTGAAACGAAAAATCGGGCAACTTGGAGGCGACAGGCCAACACAAAGGAGTCGTTCAGTTCGATCGACTCTGGGCTCCGAGCAAACCTCAACATGCCAGCTTCCTTCCACAAATCTACTTTAGATCTCACACATCACCTTGGTGTTCCCAGTCTTAAAATTCTCCTCATAGAGTCACAACACATCACTCTGCCTGACTAGTTGGACAACAGTACAGGGGACCTGCATTCTGCACAACCATGCACTTACGGAAAACAACTTTGAGGTAATGCTGTGGCTGAGCTCCACTTCAGAGCACTGTAGCGATGGGAATTTCATAGCGGATCTGGTCATTCTGCCGCCAACCCTCCCATGAACGCAGATACATGTATTGTACCGATATCAGTTATACGGAAGTTCCTTACCTCAGGACAAGCTCCGGAGGTTGCTCAGGCTCAGACAGACTCGTACTCCTAGTAGAAGTAGTAGATTTTTTTCTTTCCCGGCGGGCCCTACCAACGTGGCCAGTAGCGACATGGCTTACGCAATGCGGGAGAACGACCAAGTAACTCGAACAATTCAACGCGTTAGCGCTGTCCGCCGCAAACGAAACCGTCAGGGTAAACGTCTTCTCGGCGCTGACCGCCGACCTTCGCCTATGGGAGCAATCCACTGTTCTTCTTCTGGTCACCAATTGCGCCGGTGTACAACGACATATTCTTCGCCAATGCACTGCACTGTCCCTTACCCGAGAGCGCCATGAACCAGTGAACTAGTCTACTGTCTACTAGTGGAGATGTGTTACTTCACATGATTCGTAATGAGTTCGGAAAGCGGGCGGAGGTACGTGGGCTGGAGAGTGGAGGTACACTGGCGTACATGCGATATGCAGCACAGTGACTGTCGTTGAATTCGTAGCAAGCCAGTGCGCTGCAGGCGAACAGTCTTCCCAGGCGAAGCTTCGTTGTCGAGCAGAAAGAAGTATTGGCATTCCCGCCGGGCAATGGTAGTACTAGCACGTGATGACCGTGAGTCTACAATGCAACAATGCAAGGTTTGCCAGCGAGTAAGACTAAGAGTACTTCCACCCAAGACAGGAAGGAAGCCATCAGTTGCTACAGTAGGTTCTGCCCATGGAAGAGATGGGACAAGGAAACGCTCTGCTAATATTATACGTGCGCCCTTTCGCGTACGGAACGCGTAACAAAATAGTCGTAGGAGTTGACACAGCTCCTTCTTTCTACAACGGGGTTCTGGCAAATGCTGGGACATGAAAACACTTTTACTCAGCGCGAAAGCGGTGACCATGCCATGCCAGCGTAGACGTTGCACTGACTCTGTGAAATCTGAAACGGTCTTCTTCTTCTTCGTCCCCCGATACCATGACCATGATGACTATGAGCCGCAAAGGTGCGAAGGCGACTGCTTAGTCCAGACAACAGCAGAAAGTGTGAAGGCGACTGCTTTGTCCAGACAACAGTAGAAAGTGTGAAGAAAGGTGCTTGTACTTGTAGTTGTAGTTCACGGCTGTCCCATGCATGCGATGCGCGTTCATTAAATATGGCGGCCAAATTTTAATCTTTTTCATTTTTTACGCGATCTGGCCTAGTCGTATGTTTGCAATTTCGCTCGACTTCCATCTCAAACGGGCAAGGTCAACCGAAACCACGGGTGTTTGCCAGGTCATTCGATAGAGTTTAGAGCTTGGACTGGCCTTGCCTTCGACTGTGCCGCCGCTCGAGCGATCTTCTTGGGTTACCCACGCGCTACGCATGGTTTCTTTCTCGACGTGGGTGCAATTATTTTTGGATCGTCGCTCGATTTCAAGGGCTCGCCAACCTCGTCAGCGAATTTTCTCCGCCTCGCAGACAATTTTCTAGTATACCTCGATGTCCTAGCCTTTCGATTTCGTGTAGTCCTAAGCTTGACGTGCATAACTGTAGCTTTTCGTGGCCATGTTAGAGACGTAATTTTGTTCAGAAATGGAGGCTCATGTTAGCTTCCTGTCGTCGTGTTGTCGTATTGGAGGGGAGAAATTCGCGTCAAGGAGTGGACAGACGAAGTATCGTGTGGCAGGTCATACTGAATCCATTTTGGCAGTGTTTCATCTCAATGTGGATGAAACCAAATACACCCTGAACATTTTTGCCACACTTGAAAATTGGCCATGGAATGCACTGTTAATGCCAGGGGCCCAACATTCTCTGGAGCTCTAGAGGTGGATGTACACCGCTCAAAGACTGGGAGCCACACAGTGGGACAAACTGTTTGAAATGCAAGCCCAAGCCTGGCAGGAAGTCCAAATGCAGAACACAAACGCAAGACAAACTTGCGGCATGGGAGAAAACGCGGGCCATCGCCCGCAAGCACGAGCACATGCACGCCGCCACCACTGACAGCAGCATCACCAACAAAACCTCGCCCCACCACACCAGTACCTGATCACTGGATAGTTTAGTCTGTTCCGTTTACGAATTCAAAAAAGGCAGACAAAATAACAAAACTAAAAACACAAGCGTCGCATGGACTGAATCTGATGAGCAGCAGCGCGTCACACCCGCATACCAAGTTTAGTAATAGTAGTAGTATAGTATTTATTCATATTTCTCTAGGGCTTAGTGGGTAAATCTCTGCATCCAGAACAGTTCAGTTCAGATAGGAATGCAACAACACACGCACAATGTCCACTATGTCACAGTGTGGTAGGGAGAGAAGTGTTTGCAGCTTGCTGGTAGACGTTCAGCCGTGCATGCATTGGCAAATGGCTAGAGCAGACGGCCCGCTGCCCTTAATGTAAGGCACACACGCAAGCGTCAGAGCTACAGCAGCCAAACAGCATAGTTCATGGATTCATGAAAGACTGCACCATACACTGCGCCAGCTCTGGTAGGGTGCCCTTTTGAGCATCGTCACTGGTCGGTGACGTTTTGCAGGCCTCACCATCAAAGATGCGAGGTGATGCTGCTGATCGACTTGCTGGCATGATAGTCACAAGCATAACTAACGAAGGATGGCTGGAAGTCAAAATCAGCTGTAGATGTAGATTCCAGGTATACCAGACAATTACTGACGCCAGCACTTTATCCGATGCCCCATCAGCGTCAACTGTACGCCGATGGTCACAGGACCGTGACAGCCTTTCGATCGGTCTACGGTCGGGAGACGGGGCTGCAAGCCCAAAGCAGCGGGTATTATAGTGTTCGTCACCAGCTGAGCAAGAGAGCTTGCGGAGAGATTTAGGTGTGCACTGTTCAGCAACCAGTCCCAATATAGGTTTGTCCATGAAGGCTGGTGATCCTCAGCTATCATACAACAAATTCCTACTCACTGCGCATATGCGCATATGGCTTGTGAAACAGCAGCAGAAACTGCACTGCCTTGACAAACGCACCAGTTACCATGATGGAGCAGATATGCCCAGCCCTGGAAGCCAACACCAAATCTCCAATCGCTAGTACAAGTAGCTCTTCACTAAATCATGCCTAGTGCATGCTTGCAGTGATATTTTCAGCAAGAGCGCTGCAGTTACTGCTGAGGAGATATATTGCGTCCTTGAAGTCGAAGGCGCTCATCAAAGATGTCTTGCCATCAATTCTTGGCCTTATGCAGGCACGAGGTGGTCTCCCGTGGCATTGGCCATATTACCCCGAGCCGCACTTGCTCGAGGAGCACGTTGTTTCGCTCATGGAAGTCCTTCGTGTTGGACTGAGTAGGCTTGCTGAGAGAACAGAGCGCTGAATCCATCCACGTCCACAACTACGAATAATTTACAAAAACATTCCGACTGCAGATCAGCGCTTGAAAACGGCGATGCAAATCAGCGACGTTGGGCTTCTCCATTCAAAAGTAGAGCCTTCCTAACGAAGCAATTCTCATGTGACACTACATAGTCTCTCAAGCACTCTAGTTCAGGTCTTCTTCTCTCCACTCCATTATCATTTCGATCTTCACTCGGTCGACGTGATGGTAGTAGCTATGTAAAATGATGGATTCCTCCCGATCCTCGTCGCGGCTAAAATTTGTTCGGTGTTTGTCTAAATTCTCAAACTGACAGGGTTTACAAGAGAAATGTACCTAATTTTGTGCGATTGATGCAAATAAATCGGAATATGTCTGACTTCATAAATCCGTGCGGTAAACCGCATGAAAGGACGCCATGTCATTAGATGGTGCACATGAAGTCACCGTGAGTTGTACTGTTGTAGCTTCCAGTCTTCGCGGTTCGCTTTTGACAAGAAGTTTTTTCTTTGATCAGGCCATGCCACGTCGTTCTGACAGTAGATCTCCGATACGGATGGCCCGACACACTGTGACTTGACACACTGAACCTGTCAGCATCAGTAAACTGCACCATCTACACTGACCAGGCAGTAGACTACAGTACAGTATAGTACAGACTCAGTGTCCATGGTGTCAGTGACCATGGCCTGCAGCCTGGACCTCGCGTGCCTGAGCGGGCTGAGGACATAGACATGTCGACAGTCCAAGGCCAGGGCTCCGATCTGGACCAAACTCCAAAGCCAAGGTTGCAAGGGGCAAGGGTTTGATGCTGTATTGTAGTGCAGCATCAGAAGACAGAACATAAAACAAAATTATTGTGATCTGGTGATATCAAGCAGAACGTTTGGCCAACACGGAGAGGTCTTCATTACCGCCGTGGCTGCTCTCATGACAGTGCAGTGGCTCTAGTTAGCGGGAATAGGCAACTAGGCTGGGTTTGCGACTGTAGCTAGACCTCCACAAACTTTTGACAGTACAATCATGTACCTATTTCATTGATTCTATCCTATCTTGCACTCCGAAATACACGCAGCAATTCCAATACGTCCTGGTCCAGCAATGACGGCTATACTGAGCAAGGACAGCAGATGCAACCGTCTGCCTCTAGAGAAACAACAGCTCGTTACTGCATTGAAAGAAGCTGTGCAGAAGCAGTATGGCGAGGAAGATGACTTCTTGGATGACGCGACCTGTAGACGATATCTGGCAGGTACATAAGAATTTCCTATTAAACGACGTATTGTATTGTAAAAAAAGGAGAAAGACAAAATGTCAGGAGTTATGACTAACCGTCCGCCAACGTAACCAGATCATATACAGCCAATTTTTTTACCATAATTAAATTGGCTCACCATCCGAGTTCAGTATTGTATTGTATTCTTTATTTCACAATACAATACAACACGCCAAGAATCCATAACAATTTAATTTACTGTCTTTAAAAATACTATGGACTCTTGGTCTCATGTACTATGAATGATGAATCATACAGTAAGTGCCGTAAAACTAGTAATACAGAAAAGAGGTACTTGTTCACTTGCTGTTCAAACACCACGCCACGATGATGGCTTCTTCAGATTTCGTGTTCCAGGTCACATGTACTGAGACATTCAACATGGAAATCAGCAGGTACATGTACATGCACTGGTACTAAGCAAAAGTACGTGTGTGTGTGTGTGTGTGTGTGTGCACGCGCACGTATGTGCTTATGCGTGCCTGTGCGCACATGTGTGTGGGTGTGTGTGCGTGCACACGTACATGTGTGTGTGTATGTGCTCCATTGCACTCTGACCATTGCCGGCACACGCAGGTTATAAGTGGTCACTGGAGCAAGCGCAGACACATTTGATGAAGACGTTGCGGTGGAGAGCTGACGTCAAGCCGGAGACGTGGACGTGTGAGTTCTGCCTAGAAACGCCGGGACAGCACAGTATGCGGCAGGTGAGCGTGTGCATGTGTGTGTGTGCGTGTGTGTGGGGGGGGGGGGGGGGGGGAGTGCACACACATATGGGCATGAGAGTTGTCGCAGTGCATAAGTGAATTCCTTGCTGAAATCTAACTTGAAGTGCTATATAGCCTATTACCTCAGTTAACCGTCTTGTTTTAAGTTCAAACGATCATCTTTGCGCTTTCCGAATTTCACTTTACAGATCGGCTTTGACCGTGCTGGGCGCACCGTCTTGTACACATCGTTTGTTCAATGTGCGTCAAACTCGTTCTCGGCCGAAGAAAGCGTGCGCCACATGGTCTTCCTGCTGGAGAACGGCGTACGTTCCATGCAGCATCGCTTTCACACCAAGCAGCAGAATGCCAGCGTGCAGGACGTGGAGGAGCCAGCAGCAGCACAGGATGACACGCTGAGCAATCATAGCGCCGCGTCGTCGTCCTCCTCCCAAACTGGTCGCCATCACCACGTGCCGGAGCAGTGGGTGGTCGTTCTCGACTGCACGGGGATGACGCTGGCGGCGTGCAACCCGCGCATTGCCTCCGCCGTCACCGCCATCATCGGCAACCACTATCCCGAACGGCTTGGCACGGTCGTCACGCTCAACGCCGGCTATCTGATGCGCTACGCCTGGGCTGCAATCAAGGTACGTACTGTGTACACTGCTGCACTTACACCGTGCATGTCTATGCTGCATGTCATGGTTTTTTCTTCCAACAAAATCCACGTACAGTAAAACCTGGTTTAAGCGACCACCCCACGGTGCAAGCAAAAGCGGTCGTTAAAGCCAGGTGGTCTTTAGAACCAGGTCCCACAGTTTCTGACTGTGTCTCCAGACACTGAAATATCCATCAATCCACAGTCTACTTGCAGGACTGTGATCAATGCTACATGTAACACACACAATCTTAGCAGCTCAAGACAAGGTTTGTATGGTTTTCGACAAGCAAATACCTGTCCCCGGGGAAAATTGCGATTCCGCGGCCGCGTTTTTTTCCGCGTTTTTGCGAGTTTTTAAAAGACCGCGTTTTCCGCGATTTTCCCGCGTTTTTGAACTTTTTTGTTGCACTACACGTACACACAGTACACTGTTCGGTCAGCAACGTCTCATCGTGGCGGCTTTTTACTCAAATATGACGAGTGCTTACACCAGAGACTTGTAACTGATTGATTTCACTACATACTACCTGAAAATTGCCGCACATCAATATTATTCACCGCATATTTACCGCAAATTCACCGCAAATTATGCCATATTAGAGAGGTTAAGTTACACGTTTTTTGCCCTTTTTCAAAACGCGGTGCAAATCTCACGTTACGTGTAATTTTTAGAGGTTAAGTTACACGTGCGACGTGACGTGAAATTTTGCCTGGCAGGATTCGGGTTTAGTTCGCACAAATATCAAATCTTCCAACAAACTCGATAAAATTCCAGAAACTCACACAAATTCGGTCGGAATAACCAAGCGAAACTTCCAAAAACTCACGTCATGAACTTACGTGCGGGACAGTCAACTCACGTAAAACACGTCAAATTTTACGTGAGTTTTTTCACTTTTTGACGTAAAAGTTCACGGACGTAAGACTTTTACGTGAAACTTAACCTCTCTATTATGCCGCGTTTCCCCCGCGTTTTTTTGCGATTTTTTTCCGCAATTTTCCCCGGGGACAGAAATACACGTAGAAGAACCGTCAAGAAGGGTCTTGAGAAACTTCAGAAGTGCACAGGATGATGTCCGAAGGCAGACGAGATGGTAACAGTGGATTCTGCGTGCCAGACCCCTACACATAGCAGACCCCGCTAAACTAGTGTGTGACTAAGTAACGTGAAGCACACGGGAAAATATGTGGCTGAATCATAGGTAGTGGCTAGTCCATGTGCCATGTGTGTGTGTGTGTGTGTCTCCATTGCTGATGTTCCTCACATCCACCCGCTGTGCTTGCAGGTAGTGTTACCAGCAACTATGGCCTCCAAGCTCCAGTTCATCAACTCCGAAGCAGATTACCGGAAAGCGCCGGTTTGCGATGTCTTCGACGAGGAGCTGCGCGAGTGGGTGCGCGAAGAGGAGCGTCTCAATCGTGTCCACCCTCTGCCCGACTCGCAACGGAATTTCTGGAAGCGACCATTGCCGCCGGCACACAATGCCGATAACGCAGCACCGGTCCATGACCCACGGGGAACGCCGTCCTACGTGCGCGATTACGTAGAGGCACTTGACGTGGACCAAAGTGGCAAGGACCGAAAAGCACATCAACCCCATCCTAACATCATTCAAGATTTAGCCGGGAGAATAACAACCGTGTAACGAACCCTTGCCATGCACCAAAATAACTTATGAACTGATATGCACTACTGAAGGCACTACCATTAATCTACTACCACTTCATGTAGACGTAGACGGTGCATCGGTAGGAGCGCTCCACTGGCAGCAGCAGCAGACAAGGCCACACCGCGCTTGTCTGCGAGAGTCCTATCTTCCAACCAGCCAACGGCAGCTGCTGCGATACACACCGGTTTGACGCTGCGTGCGTGACAAAACCGCTGACGTCAGCTCAACACTGTTCATCTCCCGGCGACCGGCTTGTCTGCAGTGCCCACCCATGACCTGCAGCTCCAAAGAAGACACCACCAGTCCCTGCTGTGAAAAGCATTCCAACCCTCTGAAATAGACTATTTATTTTTTAGCTCCCTATTTATGTAACCACCAATGGCCCTATCCACATACCTATCCACATACCTTTCACGGTAACGATTTCCTACCGAGTACCATGATCTATCCACAGGGTTACTCAAGGCAATTTAGTTTGCGTTTAGTACTAGCAATTGGTGGAGAGAAAACATGTATGCTGTCAGCTGTGCAAAGCTTGTCACATTGAGTACGGTAGTACAAATTACTGTTCCAGTTAGTTTTGTTGATAGCGTCAAAGCCTGTTCAGTTCTACCGCTGTGCCTTGCGGCAGCTCATACGGCGCTAATTGCGTGTGCGGCACTTTTTAAATCACTTTCATGCCTGCTCAATTGGGTTTTACGCTACTAAGAAATAAAAGGCAATGCGAACTGCATTTCCAAGCCAAACGGATGCCAAGCTGTGCTCTGATGCATAAACCGTAGAATTTTAAAGAAGAATCTAGAATAATATTATTATGATAATGGAGGGATGTTGCATGACGGAGAGGAACTTGAAATATTATGCCACTGCGCTATGCATTGGTGTGTAGCAATGGTGATGTACAGCTGAAGGGAAGTGGGAGAGCAAGCTGCTCACAGCAACGCAAATGCGTATTTCGAAAGCAAATAAAGAATGGTCTTCATACCACACTGCTAACGACATGTGTTGCAGTTACGCTGCGTCTCCGCCACAGTACGATGTCAGCCGGAATAGACGTGAAAGCAGTTGATCTGGAAAGGAGACTGTTTGAAGGAAGACATGCCACCGCGGGTAGATCACTGACAAACCCAACACCACACAGTACCGCACACTCGGCCAGCTCAGAACAGAAACTCACTGATGGTACCTGCTGGGTGTGCATGTTCGCGGAGCGAAGACATTGAGAACGGCTGTTCCGATGTGGACGTTTCACAGTTCATGCGATGCCTAGATGAACACAACCACACAAAACGACCCCTTCGTTAAGCATCCATCAGACATAGGGAGCAGCGGATATACACCTGTTCGACTACATTATACAATGAACGCATGGAAAAAACTGGCACTTGGAAATCACCCTGTGCTACACAGCGCATACCAAAATCATCCAATGATATACAGTGTTCAGAAAGCTGGTCTTGACAGGGACCGCTCACTCAGTAGAGTAGATTCCCTGCATGCCATATCTGAAGTAAACTGCACTGTGTGCATCTGGCATATTACCGCCCAAAAGAGTGCAGCCAAAGCATGCAGTCACACTGACAAGTACGGTATCTGGAAAATACGGTACATGTATACAGGGCCTGAGCTGGCTGGCTGGCCTTTCCGCGTGCGACGTTGGGACACTCACAGGTTGAACTGTAGTACAATCATGTAGTAATGTCTCCTACTTACCAGTGGAAGTGCTCCTCGCAGCATAGACCATTCACGATCGCACTCAGCCCTTTGCTGGACCTACATAACAATCAGACAAAGTACACATGGAAACGAATACCATACTTCCCGCAGAGCTCTAAAACAATGTAGAACATATTTGCTACAGCGTAGTTCTAAAAACCACACTATCTGTGCCTTGAAACTAAATTTCGACCAAAACCGAAGTAGGGGACACAAAATTGACTTCCACACTTTGGGTTCGGTCGAAATTTACTTTTAGTTATAATAAATTATACCACCTGGGCACTACTATCACTACTGTACTCGCCTACACAAAATATGCCCCCCCCCCCCCCCCCCCCTCTCCTCCGTAGTCAGTGGCATACTCACCAAGTGGCGTTGATCATGGAGTAGTGGCGATCGAATACTTTCGCCCAGCATGCCGAACAACAGTAGAGCTCACTGACGTCCATCACTTCACATGTCGGTTTGCAGCACTTCACCTGGAAACACACACACACACGTCAATATGCACAGTGAAGAAGATCTGAGATTGCCAATATTCAAATTTGAGGCATCGCATTCCAAAGCAAAGGATGCCATGGCATGATGGAAACCGACCAAGGCCGTTGCATAAATTTCGCACGGACCCCGTGAGTGCTGCATTAACTGAATACCCGCTGCATAAACGCTGCAGAAGTTGAAACAACGATCCAGGACTCAGATGACACCATACGTCCATTGCAGGTGCCCTCGAATCTGGCAGCCATCTACATGTACAGTTTTGACAGTTGACAGTGGCCTGGTTCATACCTGTCTCTTCAGCTTGCCGGAGTAGAGCTTGCGATGTGACGTGTACTGTAGGAGATGAGATGCCAGGTGACCACGGCCATCGCAGAAAGTCATTCTAAGCAAGCATGTGCACATACAGATACACACACGCATTACACACATACACACACACACATTACACACATACACACAAACACACACAAATACACACACACGCACGCGCGCGGGCGTAAAGACCGGGGAATCAACCCAAAGACAATGAATGCTTCAGCAGCAGTGACTCTGCATTCTCAGTGAGTTTAAGAATGAATGGCAGGAAGCTTGAGTTGCCATGGCAAAGATGGCCACCGCTTGCCCCCACACAAGTAGATGTGGCAGGAACACATTCTTTCTTTTTTCTTTCGTTTTCCTTCTCTTGCCTTGGCTGGCTAACGCCCCCTCCTTTGCATTGGCTTCTGCCATTGGACGGTGAAACGAGAGAGCTTGGAAGCTCAGGGCCCTACGCTATGCTTTTTGCCTTGATGACCTAGACAAAAAAAGCATAGGGATGTTATAAATTCTTATAAATTTCTCCTTTAAAAAAAAGAAGAAGACATAATTAACCTGGGATTCGAACCCGCACTATCGCCCTGCATGCATCCCCCGATACACTTCACATACATACTATTTCTTCCAAGTTGCTTCACGTTATGATCTTGCGTTTGAAAGCCCTATTTGAATATGCATTGTGGCCAGCCGTCTTTGATGGTACGGTACGGGACAGGTACGGGACAGGTACGGTCGAGGGTAATACGACACCGTCTACCGCCTTGATGACCTAGGCAAAAAAAGCATAGGGATGTTATAAATTTTTCTATTCCCCATTTTTTAGGCATAACCTGGGATTCAAACCCGCACTATCGCCCTACATGCATTCCCCCATACACTCCGCATTCATACTCATTCTTCCAAGTTGCTTCACGTTACGATCGTGCGTTTGGAAGCCCTATTTGAATATTGCGGCCAGCTGTATGTGGCCAGCTTTGTTTGTTGGTACGGTACGGTACGGGACAGATACGGGATAGCGCCAGGCGTGACACAAACAAACAAACACCAAATTAAAGCTGTGTGGACCCTGGCTAGCGCCAGACGTTACTGAAGTAACGTCTTCTGCATAGCTACGGGAATAAAATTAATTCTACTTCGAAGTATCCTCAGCTGTGCTGGACTCTTCAAAACGAGAGAGCTTGAAAGGTCAGGGCCCTACGCTATGCTTTTTTGCCTAGCTCATGATGCATGATTATCGGAACGGATGGAAATGTTTTTTACATTTAATAATTGTAATAACATGGATGATGAGTGATGCAAACATTGTAAATCACAAAGTCTCCTGTGACCGGTGATGACTATTCACATCGCGTTTTCTTTGGAGCCGCCTGGATGCCTGCTCAGCGGTATTTTGCTGCCGACGCATCCTATCATGAATTCGGCGATTCTCCAACCGACGAGATCTTTGCTTTGCTCCTTCGTTTCATGTTTTTCACGAACACGGCGACTCTCGAGGCAGCGAGACGCCTTTTCAACCTTTTCTTGTTCTCCGTTTAGGGAACATGATCTTACCATTCCATATATCCTACCATGGACCGCGCCCACGCACTAACCACTGTTCATAATTAAAGGGACACTGCACGCCAAAATTTTCTTTGGCTTATCCGAAGGAGAATCCACCACTGATTCCAATGAGCTATGTCTCGAGTCGATCAGACGATTGGAACCATGTCAAATTCCATCAAGAAGATCTTCCATATATAGAAGTGGGGCATGATGACGTGCGAGTTGATTAGCTTAGTGCCATCACAACAGCAGAAAGGAAAACAAAATAGCTACACTGACTGTAATTTGTAAATGTGCTTTTAGTTTTAGAAAGTTTTGTTTGCATACTGTCGAGATGGAGTTTGAAGCAGTGCATGATGAAGGCGGGGCCAAGAGGAGAGCGAGTTCTCTGTGCCCACCGTGATAGGGCCATTTCGCTTTGAACCTCAAGGTCCTCCTAAGGTGACTCGGGCTGCAGCAGGGGCACACGTTGAAGATGATGGACCTGCACCAGGTGATATGGACGAAGCCCAGCGAGTGGGACACACTCGATGGTGTACTTGCCCCTGCTGCAGAGTGATGTCCAGAGAGAGGGAGTCATTTTGCTGCCGCGAAAGCGCAGCGGCTGTTGCTTTCGCTGAAGGAGAGACGTGCGTGACCAAGCATCGTGACTTTGAAGCTGTAGTACTATGTAAAGCCACTCTGGTTGTGGCCATGGTGGCATATCGCGAATTTCACGGTCAAACGGATCCCATGAACAACAGGTAAGACATTACTTGTACAAGTATTAGTATGACGAATGTTGCCTTCGGAGAACTAGTGATAGCAATCGATGGGAAAGTCATTTTTCGGCAATGCGGTTACCGGTAGTTCGGCGACGAGTATGGCGGAACCGGAAGCGAAGAGCTCTTCCTGTGGTGAAGAACATGATAACTCCAGCTTGCCCAATCCTTCATGGAAGGTTGCTGGCCTAAAGCGTTTCCTTACCAAGCATGGGGCTGTACTTACAGGACGGAAAGCGGCTCTTCTCGAACGGCAAGTGCAAAGTAAACTATAGTTGAAACAAGAATCGCTCGAGTAAACAATACTAAATAACGGTGTTTGGCTTCTTTTTCTGTCTGGTATTCTCTTTCTCAGTGCTCTTTTCTACAAGGACAACAAAGATGCCGCTGCCAGTAAGCCTTCGACAACAGAACAAGCAGGGAAGGGCGACGAGGCATGGTCATTCGAACCGTCATCTTTCCCTGTTGTGACATCTTCAACGATATTTGGCCACCTCATGGAGTCCGAAAAAGCAGCCCGTTGTCCGACCAGCGAAATGTCGGAACAGCCTGATGATGTGTTGGTTCGAAGACCCCTGGACAGGGCAGAAGCACTGTTTTTCGGTGGCTATGTGCATAATGTTGCTGTATGCTGGAGCACTCCGACAGACACTGAATGCTATGTGAGAACTAAATGCTGGGCTACTCAGAAAAAGTCAACTCGGTACGACCAGAAGTTAATAGGAAAGGAACATGACGAGCAAATGACATATGTTGGATATGGCCGGAGGTTGTGGCGGACTGTGTTCACATGTGCTCGCTGGACTCCTAGTCCTTCAGACTTACAGTAGCAGCACACAAGTAGCAGCAGAGTCTGAGGCGGTGAGCAGAACATCCCTACCACAGAGCTGGGGTCCTCGCAAGCGAAGCACAGAGTCTCGTCCAGTCATGGATGTTGTAGTAGAGAAACCCCGTGCAGCCGAATCCCGTGACACAAAAACTCCCTCCTTTTCTTCTCGACGTATAGCATGAATTCATTTCTTTCTCCGTCCGGGTTCGGAAGGGAACGTATGGAACGAGAGGCTCGGCTCCTTCTCTCGTCGACTGGTGCACTCAGGAACGCAACAGTAGTCATGCTTTGGCATGGCGATACAACCAAACAAAGCAACACTTGCCGAAAAGTGAACTGTGTCACGGTTCGTCAAGCAAAACCAACTAATTGAAAAAGGCGAAAGTCTCAAAGGTCAGAGCTGAGAAGGTCGACCTCGCGGACCACTTGCCCCGTCTCGAACCCAGACAATCTTTGTGCAAGTCATCTAACAGTAGACTAACACATACGGGATGCGTTTGATGGTACGGTACGGGACATGTATGTGTGCGTGTGTGTGACAAACAAACAAAACCAAACAAACGGAATTAAAGCTGTGTGGACCCTGGCGCGAGACGTTACGAAGTTAACATCTTTTGCATAGCTACGGGAATAAAATTTCAAAGTATGCAGGGGACTTCACTGACCCCCCCCCCCCATGGAGACAGGTCTGGCCTAGTTTCTGTTAGTCTGTTACTATACTAAAACAATCCATACACTACTGGCCAGTCAGGTAAATGAGTCTTCTCCCATATAAAGGCCCTTTGAGTTAGAGAGTCATCACCTACCCACAGTCTAGGCAGTTAGCCAGGTTACTGCAAGCACCGCATTCGGCACATGACAAGTTGCCTTTCCGCTGTAGTTGGCGGCACCTGTTGGTTGAAACGCACAGCAAGCAAGACAAAGACCAGCGTAATGTTTATACAACAGTCACTCCTGGTTGTGCACATGCTGACGTCCGTTTGATCTAACCAGGAACACCCAGTTAGGAAAATCGCTACAAAAGATCATGCACAGGAAGGCAAGTGCCCGTGAAAATGACCATTGGCGGTGGATGGTGGCTACTGTGGCAGCTGTTGCGTATTACAAGTGTCTCAAGCGACGTACAGCACAATACCATTAGCCATGCCGACAGATATCATACAACTACCATTTAGTTTCGAATGTCCTTACCGTCCGTAGTAATCTCGGAGTAGCTTGGAGTAGATCTGTTGACCCTCTTTCTGCAGCGTGGTAAAGAGCGAGAATGCAAGGAGTAGCAAATGTGAGCAGGCAGGGTAAAAACGGAACCTTGGCCTGAAAATCGGTTTTGAGAAAGCCGTGATTGAACTTTGACAAGCGAGCCGCGCCGCCGCCAAAGGCGCATGTGACAGGGAATTTGCATGCGTAGCTTGCTGCACTAGCACTGAAGCAGCGCATGCAAATTTGAACGAAATCGGCCAAGGCATGGCGATGTGATGACCTGACACAGGAGCATAGGGCTGTCACCTACGGAGACCGTTGTTTCCTTTGGAGAGTTTTATTTTGGCTTTGGCAGTGAGCGCGGTTAGAAGGTGATTTCCAGGTGTCTGACGTTTCGAAAGTGGTTTCATGGAGGCCGCATTGGAAGTGACGGTGAATTTTAGTGATGGGTCCGCAACGAATCGGGTGACTCTGCTTCGGACGAAGTTTCGTCAGATGGCCCTCCTGATTCTGAACTATCATCGCTCGATTCTGAACCGGCCGAAACTTCAGATGATTCGGACGCGGGAGATGCTGCGCCCATCGGAGGAGGTCAGGGGAAGCGAGTTCATGCCAGATCGAAGCAGCGTTTCCAAGCTGGAAAAGCCCGACAGCCGTACAAGGCGGCTTGGGGATTTGATGACACTGATGCCGATGCCGAGTGTGTTTGCCGAGCTGTTCTGGAGGCACATGTCGAGTCCTTCAAGTCTATGGTTGCGACTGGAACGGCTCTGAAAAAACGCAAACGGTACAAGGCAGCGTCTGGTGCGGAGCACACCTATCGCAGTGTGAAGACCCAGAACGAGTGGCTCATCGGGGATATTTTTGATGCACAGGTAACTAACTACCTATACTGCCAATCATGCATCATTGCTGTCCTCGGAGTCAGCAAGCAGCAGTTGGCCAGAGTGCGGAAGGTGAAGAGAGGCGAGGCACCAACGAAGCACAACCTAGCCAGCAAATCCTCTAACTTCAACAAGTCTGAAGTCAAGGAGCGGTTCGTGGAGTTCGTTGATATGTCGCGTGCGTCGAACGGTCGGAGAGCAGGCAGCTCTTCAGTTGAGTATTATTTCGACGCACAGTACAACAGCTTTCGATCACCAGACAAGAAGGATGCTCAGTATGAGAAGAAATTCTCTCGGTCAGTTGTTGGATCCTTCAACGCCTCCCAGGAAGCAGCCAGTCTACCAACATGCTCCAACTTTGCTGCCCAGCAGTGGCTGAAAGCAGAACGGCCGAGCACCAGAATCTGTCCACCGAAGGCGGACTACTGCGACCTCTGCACAGAGTACAGTGAGCAGGTGAGCAGGGCTAAGACGACCATGAGCCGGCTGCAGGAGTCTGGCGACGCCAATCCAGATGATATCCGCACCCAGAAGGATCTCGCTGAAAGCTACGGCAAACTGGCAGAGGAACACAAGCAAGTCGCCCAAGCCAGCATCCTCGAGTACAAGCAGTGCCGCCAGAAAAGCCTGTATCAATGGAAGGCAATCCACGAGCTACAGGTAAGCAATCAACTTTGAAATAAAGTCGTATTGCTGCATAGAGCTTGAGTCCTGCAGCCAACTGAGGGATACATGTGTAATGGTTTGAATTATGCCAGCCTACTTTGTTTCTTCAGCCTTTGTGAAGGGTAATTCTTGGTGTGCATGTATCCGTAATCGTAGTTTGATGCAGTCTGCAAGAAATTGATTTATGGGAGATGCAGTTAGCTCTGTGAGTTTATGTGCTTCGTATTTTACCCCTGCAGTCGCAACCGAATCTGAGCGCCGTCGACAAGGAGAGGCTGGCACATCTGAAAGCCAACTACGTCTGTGTAATCAATGCTGACTACCAGCAAGGGAAGCTGTTGCCGCATTGGGGATACTCAGCTCAGCCCGGTTCAACCTACTTCAAGCAGAAGCTGTGTTGTGACAACTCTGGTGTCGTCTGTCACACAAATCCCAGCGCCTACTTCTACCTTTTCCATGAAGGAGCAGCAGGCTCGAAGTGTGCTGACCACACCATCACTTTCCTGGACCACGTTCAGGCCAATGTGATACCATCGTGGGTCCAACACGTCATCTTCGTGATGGACAGCGCAAAGGTCGACAAGAACCAGTACACGGTTGCGTGGACTGGTGAGTTGGTGGCAAGTGGCCATTTCCGGAGCTGCCGCATGCTGTATATGATCCCTGGCCACACCAAGTTCAGCCCTGATGAGCTGTTCGCGCACATTGCCCATTCATTCTATCGCGATGACGTCTTCCTCATGGATGACATCATGGCCTTAGCTGCACAATACGGTGTGGCATACTGGATGGACGGCGATGCTGTCATGATGTGGAAAGCCAAGCTATCCCTGTGCTACCGAGCCGTTCCACACATCAACACCATCCACGATTTCATGTGGAAGATTCCGGAAGGTGAGGGTGCTGCAAAGCCTCAGCTTCTTACTCGGCCAGCATGCTACGATGGGGAGTATGCCGTCGTAGATGTCGTCCAGGCTCCTGAGCATGTCAGTTTAGTCAGCAGAGACATCGAGAGCTACATGGATGCCGACCAGTGCCCCGCTGTCAACAAGGAGAAGATGGCACACCTTGTTGAAATGTATGATCGCTTGGTGCCACTTGATCGCCGCTTGAAGCTGCTGCCACCTCCAGTTGAGACGCAGGCTGCAGCGACTACAGCGCCCATTGCTGCTATCGGCCCAGTAACTTCTGCTTTGGCTCAGCAGCACCAACAGCGGCGGCAGCAGCGACGATGCTCCACACCTGCCTGGATCGGCACTGGACATCGCAATGTGCGTCGGTGGAGTGAAGGGCATACAAGCCGAAGCGGTTGCCCAGTATTCTACAACACCAACCCACCTCTTCCAGCAGGTGCGGTGCAGTCTCCTGCCGTATAAGTTATTCTTTCCGCGACCATTGTCAGCGTAGCCAGTGATGGCACTGAGGCTGTTCAGATTTTGTTGCATAATTATGCTTCTACTTTGCCATCACTATCAGTAAAATTGTTGTGTTTTTGATCATACTGAGTGCGGTTTGGTATTGTGCACGCTCTTGCTCCTTAGTTTTCAGCAGTTGTCATGTACACGTGTCGGTTCGGATTGCCCAGCCAGCCACATCCCTCTTTGCGACTTGTTTTGTTTTCTGTGCACACATGTCATTCAGATCTATGTAGCACAGCTTTGGATTAGCTACCTGACCATGTTATCTTCTCATTTTGTCTCTGCAAGCCAGGACGCAGCACCGTGTGATATCTGGTTTTCTAGTGCATTCCATGATGTTCTCACCAGTGTGGCAATATAATATTTTTGTGTGCACAGCCAGATGAATGCGCATGATGCACCCCCCCCCCCCCCCCCCCCTACCCTACACACACACACACACACACACACAGAAACACGTGCGTTACAACGACATGAAGTCTACTCTGTAGACATACCTTCTCCTGTGTGAAGACACCTGGCATTGAAGGATGAGCTGCAGCACAGATTGGCAAGCAATTTTCACAAGCATCAAACACACAATACGATGCACCAATCAACACACACTAACGTCAGGGGGCACAAAGCAGAAACAACCGTGAGGGCAAGTTTCTTCTAACCCTACGTCCGTGTTTGATCACTGCTTACACGGTATATAGACAGACAGACAGACAGGCATGCACACATACACACACACACACATGCAACAACATTATGCCCATTTGCAGATGATGGCAGGTGCTGAAAGGACCACCAGCGTTCCAGTCACGGAGAACAGAGCTTTGAACGGTGAATAACACGCGGGCACGCAAACACACGTTCACATACAATACAAAACATGAGGCAGTACCTGATGGGATGTTGCACGTGGACACGCAGTCTTGGGGAAGGTGGCCCACACGATTGCACTTCCAACTGCATGGAGAAAGAAGAATCAACATTAGACTGAACTGTCACTGACATAGTGATTTCAGAGAATGGGCGAGGGACCGGAAAGATATGCGGCCACGTACAACTACTCGTCTAGCTTTCAATATAACACAAACAAAACCATTGTCACTTACGCACACGCATGTCTGTACATTCCTCGATGCAGTACTAAAAGACCTGGTTGGGATTATGGCTGTTGATGTGACAACTCATGTAGTAAACCGTGCACGCACCACTCACCACTTGTAGGTGGAGAGGCTGCTGCCCGCCTGCGACCACTTATGCTTACTGTAGCTCCACTGTCTGTCCTTGTCCTCGGGTAGGGTTAGACAGCGCTGACCGTCGGCCAATCTGAACACACAGGTAGTTCACACGTCATGACACATACACACACATGCACACCCATGCACGTACACAAACACACACACACACACACACACATGGTACATACACACACACATACAACTCTCTCCCTTTGTACCATGTGTTTCTACATCATTCCTACTGGACATTCCCACTTGGAAAGGGGGCAATGAAACGTGACGTGGGGGAGCAGCATCACGCTGTGTCACTCTGGCTACAACCCTGGCATCACGTATCCTGCGGAAATTGGCCAACAAACTCGTTGAAAATATATTAAGATTATCTTGATGGCAGACTGTGACGTACATGTGTATAGTGTTCGTAACTATATGTACTCACTGGTCTTGGGTCAGAGAGACGGCAGTGTCTGTGAGAGCAGCCCCAGTCACTGCGCACGCGTTATCCGCAAAGTTGGAATCACTGCACAAAAAATACCGGCATATGGCAGGAAGAAAAGGATGAAATAAAACAGATGTGCGTACACACACACACACACACACACACACACACACACACACACACACACACACACACAAACATGCATGCACGCACACACAAATGTGCTTAGTTTAGTAAAAATAGCAAAATTACCAGGGGTGCTCGGCCTCTGGACAACATGAACTGCCATGCGCCATTCCTCCAGTGTGAAACAGAATTAGAGGTGGGTTGGCCGGATCCAGATCCGTGCGACCGAGATCCAGATTCGTACAAACAAACAAACAATTTGGCGAATCCAAATTCGGGGCTCATGGAATCGAACGTGCCCTAGCTGACAACACTCCGCTTGCTGACATACACTTACAGATGTGCTGAAGAAGCAGTCGAGTACGGTGCACCATCATCCTCATTGTCAGAAGACGAGTCCAGATTGAAGTAATCTCTGGCCTCCTCTTCTTTCTCTTGCTGACAGTCTGCTAGAAGAACAGCAAAGATATGAGTAGAGACGGGAGAGTGAACCTAGGACATGACGAGTGAGAAAGTAATAGATGATATGCCAAATAACATGCAACTAGACTTGAGAGGGCATTGCAGAGTAGTTGCATACTTCAAAGTACAAAGTTCTACGGTTACCTGTGACTTGTATTCCTGCAGAGCTCAGGGCCTACCGTGTACACATTGTAGTATAATTTGTATGCAACTTGTGTGCAATGCCCTCTCAAGTCTAGTTGCACGTTATTTGGCATATCATCTATTACATTCTACTACACAAAGTACATTGTAAGACACAAACACCGGACACCTGGGAACTGGAATGCCATGTTGTGCTCTAACACTACCAGTGGCCCTCGCCTCGGCTTGATCCACCTGAACTAAACACCATTACAAAACATTACCCGGACTTGGAGCAATGCCCACCTTTTGTTGTCGCAGCGTCATCTCCCTCTGGCTGCTTGACAACTGCTCTTAGATGACATCGCAAAGAGAAGGCAAGAGAATAAAACAGATCGATAGATAGATAGATAGATAGATAGATAGAGAGAGAGAGAGAGAGAGAGAGAGAGAGAGAGAGAGAGAGAGAGAGAGAGAGAGAGAGAGAGAGAGAGATGAGAGAGAGAGAGATGAGAGAGAGAGAGAGAGAGAGAGAGAGAGAGAGAGAGAGAGAGAGAGAGAGAGAGAGAGAGAGAGAGAGAGAGAGAGAGAGAGAGAGAGAGAGAGAGAGACACACACACACACACACACACACACACAGTACGTGTAGTTGAAATCATCCGAATGCAATTGCAATTCTAAATGGACAAAACCAAGCGCCAACATCAGGGCTGCCACTTGCTCCGATTCTTCGGAAATCGTCCGATTTTTGATCGCCTGTCCGACAAACCGACCGATTTTGTTCCCAAAGAGGGACAACCGACTATTTTATTTTGAGCGCTTTTTAGTCCAGTTGGCCATTAAGCTGTGTTCACAACTGGCACGTGTACGCGTGAAACCACGAGTTTGTGCGTATTTTTGCTGGCTTTTGGGGCGCCATGCGTACAGAAACGCGCCGAAATGGAAATTCCAACATGTTGGAATTTTCAGCGCGTATCAGGCGCGTACCAGCGTACATGCCAGTCACTTTGACTGACGGGGTAAAAAAATTAGTACTCGAAGGTGTCGCACGTGCTAAATACGACTCGGATTGCTGTTTTTTTGTGAAAGCCTGAGAGCGCGTTCGGGCACACATGAACCGCACGCGTACCGCGTACACGCGCCAGTTGTGAACACAGCTTTAATTCGGCGCTTCCAGGTCGCGTTTGGCCGGTCACCGTACATGTACATGTAGCTGTAAAATGCACGCGTGCTTGCATGCACTTAGAGTATGTACGGTGTACGGGATGAGCTGTAGCAACAGCGGTTGCTACAGGCGCCAGGCAGCTTTGCAACTGCAGTACATGTACTGCCAATGCCACTGGATCAACGATCATTAGAAAGGTTGCGCACAACGAAAATTCGTAGCGTCGTGACGAAACTTTTTACCGAAAAAGGTTTTAACGAATATTCGTGAACTGTGAGGTTGCGCACAACGTTACGTGTGAACTTTTTCGTAGTATGCATTCTAATACGTGTCTGGTTCGATCACGTACCAAGAGTACATGACCCAGTGTCCTGCCTGGATCCTGGATCAACCACTTTCGCGCTCGCAGTACCAAGTACATGTACATGTACATGTACATGACCCCGTGTTCTCATGAAGTGCTTGAAAACTTCATCTCCAAACACTCAAAGGGGAGGACGTATATTTTTTGTAGTGAGACTTACTTCGACTACAACATATCGCAACATATATCTGCCTCGACTACTCCCAGTGTATGAGTTTTGCAAACAGCGTTATCTGCACGAGTTGGGCATGGCTGAAGAGTTTGATCAGACGTTGGCAATTTTGCTCTTTGCCTATGACAACGGTCTACTGGATAAGGATAAGCTGCTTTTGCTGATCCTTGCGTTGGAGGGATGATTGCCAGTTGAACATCGAAAGGAGGAGACTCCCTCCGCGTCTTTGCATACGATCTTTGCCAGATGACGCTTGTATGCTCCGATTTAGATTTGTCAAGGCGGAGTTACACGAATCGTGCGATGCTTTGCGTATGCCTCAGACTATGAGAGGCGTCATTAGGATCACGTGGACAGGGATGGATGGTCTACTGGTTGTGTTGAGGCGATTGGCATTTCCTTGCCGATTGGTAGATCTGGCTGAGGAGTTTGGGCGGTACGAAGAAGATATAAGTCGGATATTTAATACGACACTGCTATGGATATGGAACCGGTGGAGTCACGTGATCGAAAACCCTTTCGACCAAGGATGCCTCACCCCAGCTACATTGCAGTCCTACAGCGACGCTATCCAACGGAAAACTGGTGTAGATATGCTCATCTGGGGATTCATTGACGGCACAGTCCGCCCCATGTGCCGTCCCGGGCATAATCAGCGCACATTTTACAACGGGCACAAGCGCGTCCATGCATTAAAATGTCAAGCAGTGACCACACCGGATGGACTAATCACCCATCTATTTGGCCATGTAGAAGGCCGCAGTCACGATGCAGGAGTCTTAGCAGAAAGCCATCTCCTGGAGACGCTTCAAAACAACATGCGCCTTCCCGATGGCCGGTGCTATGCACTGTACGGTGATCCAGCATATCCTTTCAGCCAATTTATCCAGAAGGGGTATCTTGGTGGGAATATAACTCCACAACAACGTGAGTTCAACACGGCCATGAATTCCGCGCGTCAAACGGTGGAGTGGGCATTTGGTGAAGTGAGCACCTACTGGGCGCTAATCAACAACTACAAGCAGCTGAAGCTTGGACTTAAGCCCATCGCATGGGGAGTAGGACGGTTGATCTTCTTCTCGACTTCTGGTGGTAGTTGAAGTAGTAGTTACTAGTTATTTAAACTAACTTTTCATCGTTCACAATGTCGTCTGACTATCACTCAGACTCCGAGGATTTCCAGCTGATAGTGTCGGATTCGCCGCCTTCAACGCCTCCGTGAAGGCCTTGGTTCGAGGACAAAACATCGTCTTCGGATGAGAGTCGTGCGGAGGAGCCGTTTCTGGTGTGTGACGACGATCTTTCCGCTTGCTCTGATGATGGTTCCGTACCTCGTCCACCCGCAGCTACGAAGAGAAGGATTGAAGTGTCTGATTCGTTGTCTGACTCGGATTCAAGTGAAACTGAAGCAGTTGAAACACAGTCTGTGGCTGCTGTACCCGCTGGCAAAAAGAAACGGCGTTGTGTGAGCTATCAAGCTGCCTGGGAGGAGAACCCTGTCCTGAAAGATTGGCTGACCAAATCAAAACGCGCGGATGGAAAAGCCTTCTGCAAAATATGCCAGAAAGACTTGGAGTTTGGGAATGGAGGAGCATATGACTTGGAGCGCCATGGAAAATCGGTGGCTCATCAGAAGCGAGCAGAGTCTGCGAAGACGCAACCCAGTCTTTCTGCTACAGTGTCACAGGCCTCTGCTATGTCGCAAGCGGTGACTGACGGTGAGCTGTCAATGGCCTTTTTCATTGCGGAACACAGACTTCCTTTCACGACGGCTGACCATTTGAGTCAACTGTTCGGAAAGGTATGCCCAGATTCGGCTATTGCACAGCGTATGAAAGCCGCCCGCACAAAAACTAGTGCAGCAGTCGAGGTGATTGTCAACACCTACCACAGCCAGCTTGTTACTTGGATGAAGGAAAATCCATTCTCTATTCTGGCTGACGAGTCTGCTGACATATTCGTGATGGAGCAAGTGGCATTCGCTGTCCGTATTTGCCGCAACGAGACGAAAACGTACCACTATGTAACCAAGACGGTCAGCGCCCCGAATGCCGACAACATCTTCAGTGCGCTAGCTGAGGCCTTTACGGAAGATGCCATACCGTGGGACAACGTGTTGTGCTTCTGCAGCGACGGGGCTAACGTCATGAGAGGCAGCAAAAACTCCATCCTGACACGTGTCCTTGCTGAGCAGCCATCAGCATATGCAATGTGCTGCCCATGCCATGTGTTGGCGTTGTGTGCCAGTTATGCGGTGACATCTTATGATGAGGATATGCTGCCACTGCTGGTGGACATAGCGTATCATTTTGAGACATAGCAGACTCAGCAGAGGACGTTCAGGTTGGTTGTAACTCTGAGTTTCATGCCGCTATCAGTTGTCTGATGATAGCCTAGCGGCATGAAACTCAGAGTTACAACCAACCTGAACGTCCTCTGCTGAGTCTGCTATGTACTACATATCCAGTGGTCCCTCTATAATCCAGCACCATTTGTGCCACGGAAAATCTGCTGGATTAGGGAAGGTGCTGGGTTAACAAATCGGATTTACTGCTGCAATGTGCATGAAGAGGACATTTTGGCCACTGAAAATTGTGCCGGTTTATCGAGGGTGCTGGATTAGAGAGGGACGACTGTACCAGTAATAGGAGTTTTCACTTTAACCCAGCAGTGATCAGCAGCAGCAGTGAGCAGCAACAGCACCATCATCGCCAGTAGCAGTAGCAGCAGCAGCAGCAGATCTCGCAATTCCCAATACATTGCATTTTGGCTGCCTGTTGCCGCTGCTATTCATTTTCCTTCTACAATGAGTTTACTGGCTGGTGCCGTGAAACCTCCCGAGTGTTTGCGCCCTCGATAATCCACTGTCATGCTTACAGTCATGATGTTACTGCATTTCAGTGAGTGGTGGTGAATGATAGCGGTATGCTGCTTTTCGGATCAGCACTGGATCAGCACTGACCTGATTGTGGCAACAGATTGTCAGGCAAGTCGAACACCTCGTGTGAGCTGTCTGAATCTGAAGATGATGATGCATACGCACTCGACACCAGTGATGCAGAAAAATCAGGCCTGGGGAAAGATGCAAGCAGAGTAAAGGTCTCTTGAACACTAGACACAAATAACAACATAGCTGTACACATCACAACCTAGCTGAAAACAGAACACTGCAGCACTAAATACTCGTAGCACCATCTATCCCGTTATCTATGCACAAAGCAAACGCCAATGTGCGGTACGGATGGTGGAGAGAGAGAGAGAGAGAGAGAGAGAGAGAGAGAGAGAGAGTGTGAGAGAGAGTGAGAGAGAGAGAGAGAGAGAGAGAGAGAGAGAGAGAGAGAGAGAGAGAGAGAGAGAGAGAGAGAGAGAGAGAGAGAGAGAGAGAGAGAGAGAGAGAGAGAGAGAGCAACAACGACAGCAGCAGGAAATAAAGAGAAAAAGCGGAAATGGATGCTCCAGGCAGTAAACAGAGAGACACTGACACTCACTTTTGCTTTTTCGGCCGAGCTGAAGGTACCGAGTACGAAACTTCCGCATCGCCACTCTTACGCTTCCGGCGTTTTCGCTTGCGTTTAGCAGGACGGGAATCTCCTGCAGAAAGCAGTACAGCATATAATGGAACGCATTGTGTAACACATGTAGGGTTCTAGCCAAAGGGTGGGGGGGGGGGGGAGAGCCCCCCCCCCCCCCCCCACTCTGATAGCGCACCACCCTACTAGTTTTTCAATTTTTTGTGTTCTTTCAGTTCACACAACGAAAATTTCGGCCACAAATCTATCGTGCCGGGTGCTCACTGCGCCTGCACGCTTCATTTTGTGTGACAAGGCAATGTAGTCGACCACGGAAAAATGGGTGAACTGTTCGTTTCCCTGCCCCCCCCCCCCCCCTTTTACCAGAGAAGCCAGGAAAAAATTGTAGGGGGGGGCGGGAGGAGGAGGTGGTGGGGGCAACAATTTGGGCAGGTGCAGGGTCAAAATCAGAAGATTGTGTAAATTCAAGATCCTCACCAAGAATGCTTGCAAAGAAGAGACTCCTACGATTTGTACCAAAATCTAGGAGTTCAGAGGTCACAGATGCGGAGCATCCCGTCATGACAGTTGATGGGAGTTGTACAAGTATACAGCTGCCGTGTGTCCACGGTGGGATGTCCGAGAACAATAATTCAACTCAATACAAGTCACGCTAGCAAGATGAGTAAACAACTAAAATGTACAGGTGCAGGAGTGATGGCAGGACATCACATGCAACACACACACACACACACACACACACACACACACACACACACACACACACGCACGCACGCACGCACGCACACGCACACACACACACACAGACTATAGCTCCCTCACCTGCAGCTTGTGCTGGGTGGAGCGTAGCAGCTGCATAGCCAGAGGCTACGGATTGAGCTGATCGTGCTGACGCAGTAGACGTATCACTGTGTGTTGTAGTTCCCTTACTACCCACTGCTGCTGTCGCCGATGCACTGATGATCTCGCCAAACACAGCACCATCGTCCTGACCTGTACCGCAGACAGACACAATGACTAACTTTGAACAGTGCAAGCAAAACCCATGCTGGGTGGGAGGACCAGTAGCAGCAGCAGCAGAATGACAGTGGTGGCAGCAGCAGCAGCTACAATGCAGGATTTTAAGAAGCATGTACACACACTCATACTCATACTCCTGTCCATCGTTGAAGCGATGATAGCGAACAAGCTATGTTACAATTTGTGCTGGGATTACACCATTCGACAGCTTGCAAGGCTGATGAATTCACCAACGTACACGCACACACACACACACACACACACACACACACACACACACACACACACACACATACACAACGCACATACATACTAATACACTGACCATGTTTCTGCCGAGCCGATGCGTAGTCTCCAGGATTGACTTCACCAGCAGCTAGACGATATGCCTGCCAGGGTACACCAGCAAGCAGTCAAAACTCAAATAATTAAAGTGACCAAGGAAAATGTTCAGCTCTGTTGCCCTACCCTGGCACCAATCCCGCACACCTTTGAACAAAAGTGGCATGTAAACTGTGGTAGTAGATACTATGTAGGTGTCACCTTTAGTACCCTGGTGTTAGTTATGTCACAATATGTACCTCGCACCTATTTACCTTATATTCGGTCTCTCTAGTATGTAACAGCAGTTCAGTCTTCAGGACAACATTGGCGCAGTGAACAAGCAGGACTCAAGATGGCAAGTTCTCTCGGCAGAGCCCCCAAGTTCCTTTCAAGTCTCTGAGGACACGAACCAAGCTGAGGAATTCGCCTTGTGGTTGGAAGACTTCGAAGCCTACCTTGACCTACAGAAGATCGACGCAGCCGCGCAGAAGAGGAAACTGCTGCTGAATATTGGCGGAATCGACCTCCGGCGGATCACCAAAGGCTTGGTTGTGACCACAGCTGAGGCAGAAGGGGATGTCCCACCTGACACGTACACTCCTCTGAAAACGGCCTTGGAGAAGTATTTCAAGCCTTCCATCAACCTGACAGCAGAACGGCACAGGTTTAGAGGTCGGAAGCAGAGGAATGGGGAGACTGTGACAGCCTATTTGTCAGCCCTTCGGGCTATGGCACAACAATGCAGCTTCGACAGCACCGATGTGGACACAATCGTGAATGGAGTCATCAGAGACCAGTTCATTGAAGGACTGCAGTCATCAGCTATAAGACGAGAACTCCTAGCGACCGCAGATCTGACGCTAACTGCGGCATCGGCAAAGGCAGTAGGAATGGAAGCATCTATACTGGACTCGCTACTGTACGAGCAGCCAGTAGCACCGACTCCGCAGCCGCTATCATCATCATCGACACCAATGGTAAACAGAGTCATGTCAGGAGAGGAGTCCAGGAAAGTGGCAGGAGCCTCGGCACAACCTCCTCGACATAAAAGGCGGAAAGGAGCGTGCAAGTATTGTGGGGGAGAACATACCCCGGGAAGATCCTTTTGCCCGGCAGGCCGGACTAGATGCCGGCACTGTGGGATAGTGGGCCACTTTCCTCAGGTCTGCCTCCGGAAAGACAGACTCAGCAATAAAATAGAGGAAGATACATTGGTGGTCGAAGACGAATTCGAAGAGGCTTATACCATGGAGCCTGCGGCAACGCTACGCGCAGCTCATGATCCCCGCTATTGGGTCGATGTGCGGGTTGATGGTAAGATAGTACACGGTCTGTTAGACACGGGTGCCACACGGACAATAATGCCCTGCACGGTCGTCCAGCCAGAGGAATTACCGGACAGACGACTCCGTGGATACGGTGGCCAGGAAGTCCACACACTTGGTACGGCGACCGCAACGTTTGAAGCAAATGGCAGATCGATAGCTTGTCGGTGCTTTGTGGTCTCACCCGGGAAATGTCCCCTCTTCGGACAGGACGTCATTCAGCAGTTACAATTGGTCACTGTCACCGTTGATGAGCCAGACATCAACACAGTGACTATGCGGCCGGTAGACATTGCCGACATCAACACAGTGACTATGCGGCCGGTAGACATCGCCGTGGACCCAAACGCCGTGCCTGTGGCGTCTGCCTGCCGACGACATGCTTTCAGCAGACCCTGTGATTTGAGGCGAGCGATCGCTCTCGCGCGCCATCGCGCGCCTTATTTTCTTGGAAGGTGCACTTTTTGTCGCGCGCCTGAAACTATTTTTGGCCGTTTTCGGAGTGCAGCGCAACTACTACTGTACTATGACTAGTACGAGTGTATGGTGTCAAGTGCACTCATCGATCCGTGCGCAGGCCGGGCACAGTTTGCCCGCTCGCGCTGTTATGAAACAGACTAGACAGTGAGTTAGTCATGTGTAGTGACATGCACAGTAGTCAGTACTGAGTAGGCAAGTAACTAGTTCACTGCACGTACACTGTGAGTGTGACACAGGCACTGCACTGGCATGGCGCCCAGCTAGCCTGGCATGACCTCGGGGCATTTCACACGTCTGGATGAATGATTGCGGCTTGAACTAGTCAGAGCTGTGCCGCGTATACGCGTAGATCTACCACCACTCATGAAACACTCCAGTTCAACGGGTTTTACGGACCCCTGCATGCAGCGCAGGGGTCCGTACAACCCTCTAAACTAGCGCCTGGCGGGTCCGAGTAGCAAGATAGACCGCAGTCTGACATAGACTAGTAGTTCTGGAAGTTCTGCTAGTGCATGCGTTGCAAGTAAATGCACCCAAATGGCGCTTTCGTCCTCTTACTCTTAGAATAAAAGGCCAATTGGTCAACTGGAGTTGATCATACCAGTTGTTTTCTTTCCTTGCGACATGATCCCTTGCTGGTGATCTCCTGCTGCTGCTAGCAGTAGAAATGTCGAAAGGGAACAGTGTGCAGTTGTCCACTTTCCTCAGCTGGAAAGTGGATGAGGACATAGGCTTCAACTCGGCGAAGAAGGAAGGTAAAGAGCTGGTCGTGAAAGTGTGGTGCAAGTCGTGTGCGAAGTATTCTGACGTTATCCGGAGCGACTCTATGGCTGAGAGGTCAAGCGAAGGTCGATGCGTTGAGGTTTGTGGAGGGATCGGACTACATGACGAAGCACGCTGTCACTCGACATTTGTCTGGACAGGTAAGTGGTCAATTCAATGTCGAAAGTAAAGTCGATCGGACTCGCGACCATTCTCCTTGTTTTCTTCGCTTGTTGTCATGTAGGCGCATAGCATCGGAGTGAGCCATGCGAAGCTATTGGGTGACACCGACAAATCATCGTCGACGTCTGCATCAGGGAGCAAGGCAACACAAGCGCCTCAGCAGCCATGCATCCACACAGCTATTCTAGTCCAAGCGGAGGACGCATACGAAAAGCTCTTCCACACTGCATATTTAATGGCAGTTCACGGCCAACCGCTGTCATCTTTCAAGACAATGGTGGAAATTCAGAAAGCATCCAGAATTTTTTCTCTAAAAAAATGATATCAATAATGTGCTGTGTTGTTGGAGTGAGAATTTTTGGATCACTCTCCTACAGCTCGCCTGACACAGGCGAGGAGAGCGATAGATCACTCGCCACCTATTTTCAAATCACAGGGTCTGTTTCAGCATCCGCGAGGAGGTCAAGGCAGAACTAAGTCGAATGTTGGAGGCTGGAATTATCGAACCAGTGAAAGAGGCGACTCCATGGATCTCACCGATAGTTCCTAGCCGCAAATCTAACGGCAAGCTTCGCTTGTGTATAGATTACAGTAAGTTGAACCAAAACATCATTCGGGAGAAGAGAGCCATGCCTACCGCTGAGGAAATAACAGCCCAAATCCACGGTGCAACGATTTTCTCGGTCTTGGACGCAGAGTCTGGATTCCACCAAATCCCGCTGTCATCCAGCTCACAGCCGTACACAACTTTCACGACGGAGGAAGGTTTGTTCCGATTCAAGCGGTTACCCTTCGGCATCTCATGCGCCCCGGAAATCTTCCAAAGGGTCATGTCTGACCTGCTCGCTGGTATCCCAGGAGTCTTCGTGTACGTAGACGATGTACTGGTCACCGGTGACAGCATCAAGCAACACGATGAACGACTGCAGCGAGTCCTAGAGCGACTACAAGCGGCACAGCTGAAATTGAACAACGACAAATGTCAGTGGAAGCAAAGTGAGGTTAGATACCTTGGCAGCATACTGAACGCCCAGGGCGTCAATCCTGACCCAGACAAAGTGAAGGCAATCCTAGACATGCCTCTGCCAGAATCTCAGTCGGATGTACGGCGATTCCTTGGTATGCTAACATACCTCGGAAAATTCATCCCTGGATTAGCGGACGCAACGGCACCGGTCAGGACATTGGCAAAACGCGAGCCATTCGTCGCAGACAACTCGCTCTGGATGGAGTTCAACACACTCAAAGAGGAGGCCGCGTCTAGATTGTTACGTCTGTCGTTCTTCGACGTCACGCCAACCAGGGAGACGGCCATTAGTGTGGATGCATCTCCATGTGGCCTGGGAGCTATACTGTGGCAGAAGGACAATCATGGCCGCTTTCAACCCGTGTCATGCGCTAGCAGAGCTCTCAAGGATCCCGAGACACGGTATTCGCAGCTCGAGAGAGAGATGCTGGCTGTGGTTTTCGGATTGGTAAAATTCCGCCAATTCGTACTGGGGCGACAAGTGATCGTATTCACTGACCACAAGCCTCTGGTGGCAATCGTAAAGAAGGAATTCGATCAGGTGCCAGCCCGAGTGCAGCGATGGCTGCTGGCAATCCTCCCATACGACTTTCAGTTGACCTATACGCCAGGAACGTCAATGATTTGTACTGACGCGCTATCGAGAGCCCCCTCCCAAGCAGTTGAAGCCAGTCCGGCAGAGGCCAGGTCAATGAAGGAGTATGTTGGCTTAATCCTGGGGGAAGCTCCAATCTCTTGCGAGGATGTCCGGCTAGCCACAGACACTGATGGTCAGCTAAGTCGAGTCAGGAACAGAGTGTTACAAGGCAAGTGGAATACATGCGATGGCAGCGACGAGGTATACTTTCGAATAAGGGACTCGTTGTCAGTGGTTGATGACATCGTCATGCATAACAATCGCATCGTCATACCCGGTACCTTGTATGACCAAGTCCTCCGTATCGCACACGAAGGCCATCCAGGACTCGACACGTTTCTGGACACGTTGCGACAAAGTGTATGGTGGCCGTCCATGAGCAAAGATGCCTCAGAATTCGCTAGGACATGCTCGACATGCTGGAAGAGGCAGCGGAATCCTCCACAACCCCTCCAACCGTCAGAAATCCTACCAGTCTGGTATCGGGTGGCGGTGGACCTCGTGGAGATCGAGGATCATCACTTCTTGTCGGTCATCGACTACGGATCCCGATATCCCGAGTTGCTCTTGCTATCCAGCACCACGTCGAGAGTCATAATACAAGCATTGTCGGAAGTATTCGCAAGACATGGTCTACCGGTGGAGCTAGTTAGCGACAATGGGCCACAGCTGGTGTCGGACGAAACAGAAACTTTTCTCCGGAAAGCAGGAGTCAAGCATATCAAGTCGAGCCCGCGGTATCCATGCTCCAACGGAATGGTGGAGAGATTCCATGGCGTCGTGCGCAGGCGCTTGAGTGGGATGCCTTCATCACTACCTCTGAGACAGCGACTCCAGCAAGCGCTATTCGGCATTCGTACATCCGTGAATCGGATGATTGGGACATCACCAGGAGAAGCATTCTTTGGACGGGCCCTTCGAGGACGATTGCCGAATCTAGCTAACGGTCAAATCATCAACCGGGAGAAGCAAATTGACCAAAAAATGCGAATGGCCCATCAACACGATCAGAAGAGAGGCGTGCGGGAGCTCCCTGCTCTCGAGCCAGGCAGTAAAGTGGTACTGCAAGACGGATATAGTCAACCGGCCAAGGAATGGTGTGTCGTACGACAGGAAGGCCGTCAAGTGGTGGTGGAAGACGGTGTGCGCACGGCCATAAGAAACCGCCGGCAAGTCAGGGAGACTATCCCGCCATCAGCAACTGAGGCGACCACCGAGCGGAGCCGTAGCCCTGGGTCTGACAAAGATGCTGCAGGCACAACGGAAGAAGAAGCCCGAGCCGACAACAACCAGCCACAGCTGCCTCGACGTTCTAGCAGAGTGAGCATGCCTGTGGAGCGGCTGGGATACGATTGAAACAATTTTACTATAATAGCATGGCATCCTTAGTAGCCGGAGTAGTGACAATAGCAGCATTCATTCTATCAAAGTTATGAGCAAGAATAGACAGCAGTAATATCCTCTCGTTGCTAGAGTGTTTGGGTTGATCATTCTTTTCAACTTCTTGTTGCTAAAGTGTTGGGTTAATCATTCGATTCAGCAAGATATATGATCATTCGAAATTGATTTACTCGGTTGTTTTATAAAATATATTGCGTTGCCCATTTCATTCGGTTGCTAGCTTTTTACTAAAGCATTGGAGTAATGTGGTAGTAGATACTATGTAGGTGTCACCTTTAGTACCCTGGTGTTAGTTATGTCACAATATGTACCTCGCACCTATTTACCTTATATTCGGTCTCTCTAGTATGTAACAGCAGTTCAGTCTTCAGGACAACATGTAAACCAAGTACACTGGTCATTGCCGATGTCATGACCCATATTTTATCAAATTTTGAATGATAGACTTGTCCGACAACTTCCTAAATCGACGGAAAAGATCAGTTCCATAGATAATTTTTGTAGTCATGTCAAGAAAGGAAATTCGGGTGAGGGGGGGGGGGGGGGGGGTACTAACACATCCCGGGTCCTGCACATGTATGTCTAAACAAACACAAGTGGAAGATGACGTAGGCAGTAGCAACTCTTTATTAACTTCACCCAAGTGGCAAGTTTCCATGCCTGATTGCGAGCAAGTCACTGTGTGCAGTGCGGCAGTATAAGGTGCTGAATCAGCTCCATGATCTCCAGCTACTGAGTATGAGGTAGCACGGGATGGCCACAGCCAGAAGACCAGTTCCTATCCGGTGAACTACTGAAGAAACAAACAACTCGTGTACTCTGGCATACAGCTGTACATCGCACTGCTTTGTTGCACTTGTATCGAGTTTCGAAATTAGTAAGGCAATGCGTTCTCCAAACATACTTGCAAATTGGTCAGGAAAGTGTCAATTTTGAAGTCCTTGCCATCTGTGGTGAACAAAAAGAAGTCATGCGCATGATTGCTCATTGATCAGTGATGTTCGGGGGCTGTGTGTGTGTGTGGGGGGGGGTTGTATCGTTACCGACTCTCATCCCGTGATATTCTAGTGGAAACAACGGAGCACTCTGACTCAGTGTCTGCCTGTGAACCAGGGACACGTGTATAGTGAGTTGGAATATCATGCAATCACACAGTTACTAAAATGTCCAGTACTTATGCACTGCACTGTCTGTAGCTACGAAATGCCATTACCATTGATCCCCATGCACTGGTATTGATGGCACTGGTACTTCCTCCCGGTTTTCATGCTCTTCACACTGAAGTATTCAAGGATAAAATGTGTTTATTCTCACTTCATTTCTCTTTATTACCGTACTGGCAATATATGTTGCCGCGTAACGCGTAACGCAGGGGGGTGCGGCGTAACGCGCGACCAGGCTAGTGCGACAAATTTTCGTTGACTTCGTAACGCGCGTCCGGCGGGGTGCGGCGATCTTTTCATTGCAGTTTGCACTGCAAAAAAAGGCTGAAAACTGTGAAAGCACGTGCACCGCGTGGTGAAAAGTTCAAAACTGGACGCAGCAGGAAGTCCTGACACTCGAAGGCGCATCATTCAGTGGTTGGCGATCTCAATGGTTTCTTCTTTCCCGAGGTCGTTTTGCGAAGAAGAGCGATGTGTTTACCAGTTTCCTTGTGACAATGCAGAAGTCTCTATTCGCCTTCGGCGTGAAGAAAATCACGCCCAAGGAAAGTGAAAAAGGAAAGGATGAGGAGAGAAAGGAGACGAAAAACAGGATTGCTGCTGATCGTGCAAAGAAAGTTTTAGTGAAGCAGAAGAAAGTTCGTGAGCAAACGAGAAAGCGTGTTCGTCGGCACCGCCAAAATGATGCGGCAATAGAAAAATAGTGATGCAGCAATAGCAAAAAAAGGACTGCGGCAATATAGAAACCTGTGTAACGGCTCCTGTGCGACCTTGCATGTAACGCCCTGCGTGCGGCAAACATGTGCCAATGTAACGCTTCATGGCCTCACTGCGGCAACATATATTGCCAGTACGGTAGTACCTTTCTTGAATGTTTTTCATTAGTACAGTCGTCCCTCTCTAATCCGGCACTTTATAATCCAGCACCCTCGATAAACCAGCACAATTTTCAGTAGCCAAAATGTCCTCTTCATGCACATTGCAGCAGTAAATCAGATTTGTTAATCCAGCACCCTCCCTAATCCAGCAGATTTTCGTGGCACAAATGGTGCCGGATTATAGAGGGACCACTGTACAACGTAGCTTCGTCTTCCTGAGGAGTGTTATGCGAAAACTAGTTCGAAGTATTCTTTTTCATCATTTCTTCCATATCACGTTTGTTTCTCCTTCCCTGTTCTCCACTGCCATCGTATCCACTCGTTGTGAACACAATAAAGCCTTTGTGAAATGATTGTTCAGCTCGTTCTGTTTATCGCAATTCTAAAATGTGTTCTCCTTTTCATTTATTAGTAATGATCTGTGAGAAAGCAATGCACATCAACATGATTGTACTTACATTGATATGCCCTGGTTTTCATGTGAGACTCCGCCATTACGAAATCCCAACGCTCAGTGCCTCATAGACCTCACCGAATCCGCCACAGCAGATCTAGCACATCCAGCACAATATGATTGTTCTTCCACACACGTAATGATTTCAAAGAACCAAAATAATTAAAAGTGAAGACATTCCATCAACATTGAAATCAAGGTGCAACCAACTCTGTTTGAATGAGAGAATCATGTGCACACGTGCGCATGACGTGTACAGCATCTAGCAGTATAGCATGATAGTACTCAGTCGACACCGACGACACGTCATGCATGCGTCACCGTCGACTCACCGAGTCACCGCGTACCGACTCACCAAGGTGACATCATGCCGCTCTCGCGATTATTTTGCCTGGGGAGTGCAGGCGATGCGCCGTTTTGCGAAAAGTCGACGTTTAGAGGTAGTTTTATTATCCCAAATGCCAAAGCGCGGGAAAATTCAAATGCAAACAGCTGCATTTTGGAGACGTATTTTTTATCGACAGTCGGGCAGTCAATGCCAATTTTCTCAAGAAGAAGAGTATTCAGAGGCATTGTTGTGCATTTTCCGTTGATACTATACGTGTGCCCTAGTGTTTGCATGAGCGAGGGCGGTGGTTTTGCTAAACCGTTCGCATGGCGGGCGGGTTTGTAAGAAGAAAGGCTTCAGCCATTGACGAGCGACGAGAAACCTGTCATTTCGTGCCATTTGAGTTAGCAGTAGCACCGGACAATACTGACACATGTCTGCGGCAGCAAACATAGTGTACTAACGGATCAAAAACAGCCACAATGTGTGTCACTGCGGAAACGGGCTGTAGAGGTGCATTTGCAAAGCTGCTGATTTTCATCGTCTTTCCATGCACAGGGTACGTATCATGCCCTTGGCATAGGCCAAAGCACGAAAGCTTTAGCTGGACACCACCCACAATCTCCACGTGGGTCCCAGTGTACCTGCTGCTGCCGATGAGAACCGCCCTATAAGCGGTTTACCCACCCATGTGTCCTCAATACGACTGAGAATACATCAGAAGTACGCCATAAGCATTGGAAACCTGTACAGTTGAATCCAATTTCGACCAGAATTGTCGTCGGGGGGTTTTAATCCCTCGCACGATAGCCCTTCCGATTACTCTCGATATCTCATATCACACGGACGCCACACTCAGAGAACAGATTATCGTTCATGCTCCAAAGAGAGTCTCAAGAAGAAGGCACACAAAACAATCAGGATGCGCACGATAAGCATGCACGCATGCGCAACCTGCACGTGCCAAAAGGGGCACACACGTGCCAAAAGGGCAGGGACAACATATTTCCACACGAAAAAAAATGCATCCTCTCCTGAGGATGGGAGAGAAAAAAAAAACGAGAAGACAGACAGGAGAAGAAGAAATCAAATGTGAACAACATACACATGCAGATACGCAGGGCCAAAACAGTAGGATACATTAGTAACTCCGGACAACGGGGGAAAAGCCAAAGCAAAGGGGTGGAAAGAAAACAGACTGGGCCCACCCATAGAGGGAACCGCCATCTTTCAGGCGTGGGCCCCCGGAAAACAACCACCTCGCCCTGGTGCGAAGCCAAGGCAAACCGACGGTACGGCGAAGACCGCGGCAGCTGAACCGGGTGACCAGTCATCTGACAGCCCAGGAGTTGTCCGGAAAACCATCACGCAGCCGATGGGGCTACGAAAACTCACAGATACACACACAGAAAGAAAGAAACAAGGACTGACGCAAACATCTCAGCAATACTAGGAGCCAAAATTCAGACAAGAAAAACCACAAGAAGGAATGGCAGAACAGCAACGTTGAACACGCCTACGGATACAGGGGCAGTCCATCCATGAGGACACCAGATAGCACACAAACAAATCGGTCACCAATACGCAAACAAAAATTAACATAGAAAAACCACAGGGCGCTACCCTGAATAACCACAGGCCTCTAACCTGAAAAAACCACAGGTCTCTAACCTGAAAAAAACCCACAGGGATTGAACCTGAATATCACGCGTGAAACACAACCGCTCACGAAACACAAAAAAACACCGTCCTGAACCCTACTGGGACGCACAAAGGCCAGCCAGCAAAACACGGAAACCGAACACCCGCAAGGCGAACCGATACAAATAAGCGCTGGATCCCACCAGCCCACCAGGCAGACCGTGGCTCACCATGATCGGACGCCCCCCTAGGTGAAATGAAGAGACCCACGTGCCAAAACACAAATACCAAACAACACACTCACAGAAATATTGCCACCCGGACCGTCAACGAGAATCTCAGAAGCATGTTACACCACTGGGCGTCAGCCATTCCACATGAGCGGGACAACCAGGCGGAGCACTAAAACGCTCGACACAAAACATGATTACTAGTAAAACGAAAAAGAAAGCACTTGTACTTGAAACTGGAAACGACGGAGTGCCACCACATCGAGTAAATCGATGGGGACATCTACCAAACTGAAACAAATCGGACGACACAGGATCGGAGCAGTCCGACGACACCGAAACGACGTGCACCAGTGCACAACACAGGGCGAGTAAGCAAACACGAGCAAAGCTACCCATGCTGACTACCATGATGACGTACCAAGCAACACGATGAGCATGCACGACAGCACGGACAACAAACTTTCAAGTCAGAAGGTGTGAAACACAGTGCACACGACCACTCGAACAGCCAGAGGCCGGAGGGCGACAATGTACACTGGTTCAAAACACCGCACACACAACGTGGGCCACAATCATGTACTAACAAGAGCGAGGCTCGAACGAGGTACTTGTACACAAGAGAACAACCCGGGACTTCAATGCCACGAAGCGAAACAATTATTTTGAAAATCCCAAATCGAAGACTAGTACCAGGAGAACTACGTACAAGGTACCAAACATTACGCAGGGCAGACAAAGCAGGCTCACCTGAGTAGGAGCTCCGACGTCAGGGTTGAGCAGATGGAGCAAAGCGGAGCCATGGCGAGGATGCGTGGAGAAGGCAAGATTTGAAGCCACGGCGAAAACGAAAACGATCTCAGGGTCGTGGGGAACGATGCCACTAGCTGGGCGCCAATTGTCGTCGGGGGGTTTTAATCCCTCGCACGATAGCCCTTCCGATTACTCTCGATATCTCATATCACACGGACGCCACACTCAGAGAACAGATTATCGTTCATGCTCCAAAGAGAGTCTCAAGAAGAAGGCACACAAAACAATCAGGATGCGCACGATAAGCATGCACGCATGCGCAACCTGCACGTGCCAAAAGGGGCACACACGTGCCAAAAGGGCAGGGACAACAGAATGACTGTATTGGTTGGAAATGCATTGCACCATTCCACTGAAACGTTAACACACAAGAACAGGAAAAGGATGTAACAGAAAACGAAAGAATGTAACACAAAAGATAATCCCAAACCAGCGGAAAAAAAGAACGTGGGAAGAAAAGCACTGGCTGGTGTAGGAAGCAAATACTGCAAATACTAGGCTAAACGGGAAGTACCAAATTATGTGGTTGTTGAGCATCTCAGAGTCGACAAAGGGATAACGGAATGAGAGAGACCGACTATTTTTTGTCAAAACTGTCACAAGCCAGCAGCTGGTGATTGTTGAGGAAGGCAGTTACACCACACTGACCGACACCACTGCTGTGGGTAATGATTACGTGCATCGATCATTGTGCAGCACCTGGCAGCAATAAACCAGACAAAGCAGTACAATACCATGCAGAAGATGAAATGCTTGACGGAGTATAAGTAGTAGCAGACAAACTGTTACACAATGGAGCAACATTATTTGCTATTAAAATGGCATAAATACATTATTACTTTGACGAATACCCGACACATAACATTCCCGCTACAAGCATTACTAACTCTACTGTCCCTGATGCAGGAGGGACTAGTGGCACACATTCCTACTGCATACCCCAAAGCTAAGAAAGGTGGCATCATGCTCATGTGAGCCGTTTGGGTACCACCCAAGCTCTGCACCAGGCTCTGTCCAGGTGCCTACACACAACCCTGGAGGACGAATGCAACCCCAAAACACGATGTAGTAAAGGGTAAGTCTATGGCCACAGCTGTCAAAGTTATCCACCAAATTGACCTACAGCAGGCCAATGTACAGTGGAGGAGAGTACCGAGAAACTAAGAATAAAGGACTTATTGCCTGTTTGTCAGACTATCCACCCCAAGCTATGGTCATGAGGGTGGACAATATTGGATGGTGACAATTCCACCTCGCTCTCGTTTTCTCCCCTGGAATGAAGCTTCACACACATACCTGTAGTACCTGTGGTGTCTACAAGTAGTATAAACGGTCCTTCACTTACTCCACTGCTTTGTATAACAGCCTGTCTTATGCAGAAGCCTGTTCTGAACACAAGCCTGAGTTCCAAGATAGGCAATTAGCACAATAGTGTGGATTTTGCATCGGCAACCATAAAAAGTTTGGTTTGACTCCAAACATAATGCAACATAATGTAAATAGAGGCCTAGCCACCACACCGGCTTCTACAGAAATACGCCTGGCTTTCATAAACGACATTACAGTAAGTCATCCAGTTCGCACTCACCCACTTCAGTTGGTGCTTGCAGACGTGTTAGACACATACAGCCAGTCAAGTACACTTGCAGGGATCTTTTCTCAATGGGGAGTAACGGCTGGCCATAATACCTACAATACATACAGAATGACAATGGTGAACATAGCAAAAGGGAAAGGCATTCAAGACCTGCAGCTCCATGTATACATGCCGAGTGTAAGCGTGGTGTCTGTGGACAAAATCGACAAAGAGGTACCCTGGCAACAAAATGTAGTGCCAGGATGCCAGCAGAAGGCTGCGTGGCACACCAGTCCAACATGTAAATCAACTACCATCCAGTTGTCACATTAGAGCCCAATTGTTGAAGTTCCACGGCCATTTGCCTGCCACATGCCAATCACAAGCACTGAGGAAGAAACTGAGACAAAGCGACGTCGAAGCAAAACACTAACACAGACAGGCGGGTTCCCCACACAGTGAAACTTCAGTATGAAGTACTAGTAGTACCAAGAGTCCATGACGTCAAGAGTATGCGACTGCACGTGGGTTCTGGCACTGCGCTCGGCCCACATTACGTATCCACGAACTGGGGAATCAGCCCATAGTCCGCAAATCAGAGTTGCACGCTTGTGGGTTGTGGGGTTGGGTTATGCAGACACCTGACAGTATGGATATACATGTAACATACTACGGGATATAAAGTACTTGTACTATTATGCAGAACCTTGCACCATGCAATACGCTATATCGGTACAGACCAATTTGAAAGGTATTGGAGGTTTGCTATACAGTGTACTGAAGTATCACTGCGATGCTGAATTGCCAATACATGTACATACATGTAGTGGAACATGAAGCTGTACAACCAGTTGACGTGTATTTGTGACGAAATCACACTACGACTGCAAGACTCAAAATGTGAACAAACATGTAATTTGATGGGGATCTTTCACCGAGGAGTCAGGTGATGGCGGTGCCGTAAAACCTACACGTGGAATTCAGCTGAACTGGAATTGTTGTCTCTGGAGTATTGCTTAATTTAAGCAACAAATCTACTATCAACTACCCACCTCTTCAAGGTAGGGATGGTGAAGAACCAATGACCTAGTCATGGTGTGGGGCTCTGACAAACATCTTGCAGCAGTCAGACAGCCTGTCACAGGCCTGACAAAAGGCTGTGGGTGCAAGTCCGGCTGCAGGATCATACAATGCGAGTGCAAAAAGGCAAATCTGTTATGCAGGCCAGGGCTAAAATGCCACACTTTCAACAACACCTCCGCGAGGGAAGAATCCAACAGTTCCAGTAAGCAAAAAGTTGTTTAATTTGAGGAGACTGAAAAGCAAGAAACCAGCAACGAATTGGACCAAGATTGAGTCAATGTGCACACAGATGATGCGTGCGTGTTATTGTTTACTGGAATTATGGTGTATATGCTAGAAACATGGAATGCACTACGAACTCTGACCTGAAATACACAAATATACACATTTGCCTGAGTTTCAATGAGCATGGATAGATGTGGAACACAATACTTCCACTGGAAATGGTGATATACCGGGAACACAATCCATCTGCTGCTAGATGGGCGAGAAACTATTGTAACCTGGGATATATTGAAACTTAGGTGTGATGAAATGTCACTTTCGTGGATTTTACACGTATTACAAAAAAATCTTTCATTTCGTGCCATTTGAGTTAGCAGTAGGTCTGGACATAGACATGACCAAATCTTTACACAGGTTGGTTGGGACTATCTTTCTGCTATCTCGGATATTGTGTAAGATTTGATGGAGTCCATTACTGGCTGAATACCAAAGAAGGGAGGAAATTTCTACGACTGTACTGTAAGAAAACGACGACACGAAACTTCCCAATGGCTCAATAGCTGACCCCAAAAATATTACGGATTACTTTAGTACTTACTCAAGTCACATCGAATTCCTTATCGGCGGGCTCCAGGCTGTGAAACGCCTCCAGTGGGTCTGAAAGTTCGACAACGTCAGCCATTACTTCTTCACGGAATCGTCATCTTCACCTCTGCACAAAATGAGCTGACCGGGATAATAAAAAACGGCTTTTTTTCGCTCTGGCGCATCGACTGAGTGGGGACTCCTCCTAGTCCGTGGGCCAAACCTGAAAAAAGGCCTCCTAGAAAAATCTCGTTCCGACTTTTGGGCACCGCAATTTTATTGGCCACGTCTACTCTACAATACCTTACTGAGCAGGATTCCGGTTGTTGTCACTCTGACAACTTTCTGAAAGGTATCCAAAAATCGGCTTTTCCATGTTGAAAATTTCTCTCTCGGCGGCCATTGTTTTGTATGCATTCATGCATGCGCGTTGTGTGTGGTGCTGTGAAATGTGATTATGCACCAGAATACACGAAAGTACACGAATTCAGTGTTACCTGTCATGTCAAGTCGTGATCTGGTACGATCTGGTACACTGCACACTCTCTGCAGGCGTGCACCCGGACCCACTAACTCTCTGCACTGCAGTGCAGGCGTGCACCCACTATACTTGGCATCTTCCTTCTCAGTTTGAACTTTCATTTCGAGATTGGTTTTTTGGTTTCAGTTTGTACTAGTATGTCTGTGGTCAAGTAGCACTAGAAGTAAGCGTCGTGATGAGTTTAAAGTGTCTCATTCACGTTCCGGAGTGCGGTGAGGAGGTGAAGCCCTTCACCCAGACGACGTGGAAGAAGGTGTGTGAAATATGCACTAGTGAAGCTGTTGCCGTAGAAAAATTAGCTGAGCTCAGGGAGTTATGTCGTAGTGATGTTTGGCCTGAAAACGGAGGCTTCCACAGAAAATGTTGCCAGAAAATAACGAATATAACCCTCCGACGAAGGCAGAGTACCCCTCATCTAGCCATTCGGAAGAACTATCTGTGCCGGAGTCGATAGAGCCAGAAGCCAAGCGCCGCCCCAGCACGCGCGCCGCACTAGCCGCGCCCATCGTAGCTCCAGGCATGAAGGGCTGCATATTTTGTGGGAAGGAGAGGCGCCAGCAACCTGGCCGGAAGAATTGTAGTCCAGTCCACAAGCAGGTGTGAATACGCACACGCTGCAGCGAAGCTGTTATGTACATGTTATACGCAGCAAACGTCAGAAAAGACGAAAAGGTCCAAGTTGCATTATTGGTCAATCCGTCTCTGGAATATTTGCGCGCGAGGTTAACTACCATAAACAATGCTGCAGGAATTACACGAGAGCTTAGTGCCCCTGTTTGCGAAGCCATGGTGGGGATGCATGCCTATACAGGTTGTGACACAACCAATGCCTTCAGTGGCAGAGGGAAGAAGCTAGCATTTCAGCTGATCACCAAGCAAACCCCAAAAAGCGAGCTGGCTCGAAAGGCTATGGCAGCACTCGGTGCATCATTTGACGCACTACCAGCTGACATTTTCGCCTGCATCGAGCAGTTCACTTGCGGTATACATGTATACGGCTTCAACACCGCCACATCTATCAACGAAGTGCGATACCAGATGTTCTGCTCTCGCTCGACGCAATTCAGCTCCCTTCCTCCTTGCCATGATGCGCTGCGCAAGCATGCTGCAAGAGCAAATTACCAGGCCAGTATCTGGCACCGTGCTCTGGAAGCTTCCGCGGATGTCCCGCCACCGCATAGCCCTGGTCAAGGGTGGACCATTGATTCTGGCGGTGGTTTGGAAGTGGACTGGCTCAGCTTGGCACCAGCACCATCGAGCCTGATGGAATTTGTTTCATGCGGTTGCACGACAGGCTGCAA